GGACTTAAAGTGATACAAGGGTCTTCAGGAAAAAGTTAGGTTTTCTGAAGAAAGTCATGTGACTATCCAAAAACTATACAGTGAACTCAGATGCTTAAAAAAGCAAACTACTTTCATTTTCCCCCCTTTACTGGAGACAGGGTCTCTCAACTGTGCAACTCTGGCTGTACTGGAACCTGCTACACAGACTGGAGGGCCTTGAACTCACACAGATCCATCTCCCTCTGCCTCCCTAACACTAGGATTAAAGTCCACCCAAACTACCTTTTTAAAGGGTAGAGGAAACAAAAACTACACAAAAATTGGCTGGGAAGATGGTTCTGTCTGTGAAGTACCTGCTGTGCAAGCAAGAGGACCTGAGTTCGGATCCCCAGTCCCCATATGAAAGCCAGGCATGGCGGTGTGTGTTTGTAACCCTGGAACCGGAAACAGGAGACTAGAAGGTCTTTGAAGTTCATTGCAGCTAACCTAGTCAAAACTGATGGAGCGTCAGGTTCAGTGAGAAACCATCGCCAACAGATTGAGAGCAACTGTGGAAAACACTCAACACTGACCTCCAGCCCCCACATACATATGCATATCCACACACCCACCTGCACAGACCCACCTGAGCACATACAAATACCACACACAGACACACACTGCGGGAAAGCTAACAGATTTAGATGCAGTTTTGCAAAATATGTTCAAAAGAAAAAAAAAATTTTACAGTTAATTTTGGAACAGGAGAAAAAATTCCCCCACAAGATGGAGGGATACTAACAGTGGTCAGAGAACAAGCAGGACTAACTTCGCCCTTGTTTTGTGGTCCACACCTCTAAAGGAGAGGTGGATGCTGAAGCTATCTGTAACAAGACACCACACTTCTCACTTCTCTATTTACATTCCACAAGTGCCCCAGGGAGGCTACAAGCAAGGCTAGGAAGACCTGCCGGGAAGCCAGGATGGGGCGGATATGGAGGTGCTATCTGAAGGCACCCCACAGAGCAGTGGGGACACAGGTACACCTGTGAGCCTGTCCTCTCAGCATCTGCCCAAACAAGGAACTAAAATGAAATGCTAGTCAAAAGGAGCATCTAGCTTTTACAAAGCCCTCCCCCGAAAGGTACCAATTTCTTTATACCTCTCTAAATTACATGCTTTGTTAACTATTTAAAGTTAACATATAGAAAATTCCACACTTAAAGTCCATATTAACAGCAAATATGAACTATTTTCATTCACAAACTTATTACTCATATTTTATTGATGGTACTGAAACCACAGTCTAATAAGTAAGTGACTTGTCCAAAGCCAGACTGCCAAACAGCAGAACCCAGACTCAAATCCAGTGCCCATTCTGCTGAGACCAGAAGGCAACAGTATGGATGTCAGGCAGATAGACAAACATGCCTCTGCCCTGCAAGGTGAGGGTGCAAAAGAAGAAAAGGAAATATGTAAGGATCTAAAGCTGTCTCTAGTCAAGTCTCAGTGACAAAAAGGGCCCTCTCCTTTTTACTGTAAGTCTCAAGGAGAAAAAACCTGCACGATCCGCTTGTACCCTTTCCTGCAGTCCTCGTTCCCACCCATGGCCTTTTCACGTGGGTAGCTAACCTGTCCTCAGGAAGGAGGACCCACAACTGTTTTACACCTGTCGTAACCCAGAACCAAACCTCAAGCGAGAAAGCAGCGGGAAGGAGCAGCTCAGGATCCTTTGCACACAAGATGCTGGTCAGAGTAAGGCAGTATGTAAGGGACTGGAGAGACGACCTGTCAGTGAAGAGCATGTACTGCTTACCCAGAGGACCCAAGTCCCATTCCCAGCACCTTATCAGGTGGCTCACAACCACCTGTAACTCTAGCTCTAAGAGGATCCAACGCTGGTCTCAGCAAACAGGTGCACACACCCACATACAGACATGTAATACTTTTTTTAAAAAAAAATCAAGTATATAGAAAATGAAAGGGGGGCCGGGCAGTGGTGGCACACGCCTTTAATCCCAGCACTTGGGAGGCAGAGGCAGGCGGATCTCTGTGAGTTCAAGGCTAGCCTGGGCTACAGTGTGAGTTCCAGGAAAGGTGCAAAGCGACACAGAGAAACCTTGTCTCGAAAAAACCAAAAAAAAAAAAAAAAAAAAAAAAAAAAACCAAAAAAAAGAAAATGAAAGGGAGGGAAAAGGCATATATCATAGCCACCAGAGCTGCCAGCATGTAATCCACCCTTTGAGCTGGGCAGTAAGTTCTGTCTGCTCCATTTCAGACTATCTACTGTATGCTTCTCTACTATAGGCTAATAATATAAACATCCATAAAAAATACACCATAAAAAAATCTGGTTCATATATCCTCTAGTCTGTACACTTAAACACAAACTTCTTTCCACTAAGTAAATGACACTTAGTGACGGTTCTACACCCAGTCACCACCCTCAACCGGTGTCTGAAGGGCAAACCCACTCCTAGGCCAATAAAAGCCATTCATCCTTCTGATCTGGATGTGTTTCTACAGTACCTATGAAGTTAAGGCAGCAGCGAGCAGGAGCCAGGAAATCTGGGCTGTGGGCCAACAGCCTTCAATTATCAGCTGTGACCTTGGGCAAATCACTGAATCAGATCTGGGTGAGTCACATAGGTAAAAGCACTCTACAAACCGAATGTATGCCTCAGGAGGAAAGGGCTTATTATCCACAAGTAACAAATTCCAGTTGGCCTCAGGTAAAGACATCAAACTCTAATTAAGGACTCAGTTTAAAACAGTATCATGTGAATAACTGTAACTAGAAACACAAACAAATCAGCATCAATCAGGCCTTCTTACCGGTTTGTTAATGTTGGCCCCAGCTTGAATCAGCCAGACCAGACACTGAGGATGTCCTCCAAAAGCAGCAATGTGGGCTGGGGTCTGGGCATAGCGGGTGGTGGAGACATTCAGTGAGGCGCCTGCTCTTACCAACTGGATTAAGCACTCCAGCTTCAAACAGGCAGAAGGACAAAAACAGGACATGTCAGTACACCAACACAATCTCAATTCCACAATGGTCACCAGTGGCATTTTTGTTACCATTTTTCTTCTAACAATAATTTAATCTCTTCCCAACACTATGAAAAAATTTCAAAAACATTTACACTAAGAGTGCATTATTCTAAACTTCTAATCAAGACTTTCACACACATGATAAAATTGTTAATGACTGGCAGGCTACAAAAAAATGTCTAAGTACTGTAAACTCTTCATAGTCAAAGACTCATAGTGTGCACAACCTGTCTACACTGAATGTCCCCAAAGCTCATTCCCCTTCACTCTCTCAGTCTTTAAAAACAGAACAGAAAGAAAACTATGGGGAAAAAAAAGGTAACAGCACAGCTGAGCTCACCCAGCAGGTGACTAACTGAAAGACTGGCAAGCAGAGACAAGATATAGCCAGGTCCTGCTGTGCTGGCTGCTGGTTACCAGTCCATCACAGGTCAACATGTGCACCAAGTGCCTACCATGTGGCCAGGAAATTTTTGGAACTTACTTGTTCTCCAATTTTGAACTGCCTGTTTCTCCTCAACTGACTACAAGGCAGTGAAGAAACTGTGCCCGGTTACAAGCAATTCCAAGAACAAACAGCCGCTGAGTCTCCTTATCTGTCTCTCTGAACAGTTTAAGCTTGTCCTCACTAAGATCACCTCAATATAAACTGAGTTTACTGACTGGCAGGCTACAAAACTTGCACAGCAGGCAGTGAACAGATTTAAACAAAACAGTGTTAGAGGTCGAAAGCAATGGCTGGTGAAGAGTTCCTTTAATTTCCCAAGGGGAAAATAAAAGTACAAACCAGTGGTAAGATGAATAGGTGTCGGATGAAAAGCTTTTAATTAACCTTTAACATGGAGAGTCCCCAGGACATGAACCTGTTAGCTAGGCCATATTCAACCGAGGAAACTGGGTTTGGACTTATGCAGAGTACTTTTAAATGGGGGCATTTTGTAAAAGCAAGCTATAATTAGCCTTAATGATGACCAATCTTCCGGGAATAAATAACCCTCATAAACGACTGGGTAACTTAGCATCACTGGTACATCTTGAGGAAAACATGCTGGAAACCTACAGAAAGGGAGAGCAACAACAGACAGCCAGGCTGGGGAAAGAGGCGCTGCCTTTGCGATCTAAGAGCTTTCCCTACCAGTCAGAACGGGTTTCCAAGATGGTTCCACATCTTAAGATTATCCAGGTTTGTAAGACAGCTCAAAAACAGAGTCCTGGCCTCAGCGACATCACTGATCTCCAAAGCCAAGTCTACAACTCCGTCCTCCGGAGAAGCGAAAAAGCTCTTTTAGCTTTATCTTACATTGTGGCAAAACAGTACAAGGCGAAGTTTGTCCGCGGGTAACCAGGGAGACGTCGAGACGGTGGCTTCCCAGCGACCCCCTGCACGGAGGCCCGCTCATGACAGTCCGCCATCCGTCCAAGCCCGGGAGGATGGAACCAACAGCGAGGCTTACACAGGGCGGCCCCAGTCGGAGGAGGGGGCCGGTAGGCCCGGGCGCGACCCCGCCTGCGGTCACGTCAGGTGCAGACTTGACACCCCCGACGGCGAGGACAGCGCCCGTCCCTTCCCGTCTTAAAGGCGCTCGGCGCCGGGTTTCCATTACACCGGGACGCGTAGCTCCCCGTTCCCTCCCCGTGAGCAGGAACCTTCTACACCATTCCCCGGAGAGGGGGCGGACTCCGCGCAAATCGCCCCAACTGCGGCCTGCATCACCCCCCTCTCTCGAACCACAGACACTAAGCGCTGCACATGCGCCTTGGGTCCCTCGGGGCGCCGGCTAGGCCGACCCCACTTCCTCCCCGCCCTCCCAGCACTCCCCGCGCCCCCCGAGGTCCTGGGTCGCGCGCGCGCGCGCGCGCGCGGCGCCGCACATGCGCCGTGGACCCCTCGAGGCTCCGGTCGGGCCCGCGCCGCTTCCGCGCCCCCACCCCTTGGGTCTCAGACCGCGTTCTGCCGCACATGCGCCCTGGAACCCTGGGGAGGGCCCGGGGGTGGGCTGGGGGGGGGGGGGCTGGCGCGGCCGACCGAGCTTTGGCCGCGCTCTCCAGGCACGGTGGGGCGCACTCCGACCCTCAAGAGAAAAACCACGCGGAAAATGGCGCCTTAAAGTGCCCGCGCCCACCTTTCCGAAGTGCGCGGCCCAGTGCACGGGCGTCCAGCCGTAGAAGGAGTCCTCGGCGGCCAGGTGAGCGCGCGGCGTGTGCGGCAGCAGCGAGCAGAGGGCGACCAGGTCCCCGTCGCGGCAGGCGCGGTGCAGCGGGAAGCGGAGCGACAGCAGCTCCTCGCTGGAGAAGCCTGCCTCCACGCCCGCGCCCGCTCCCGCCGACATGATGGGGCCGCTGGGAAGCGCGCGACTCGGGCCGGCGAGAGGGACGTGCCGGCCAAGGCCTGCTCGAGTCCGCCGCCACTCCAAGCACAAAGGACCGGCGAGCCGCGGCCGCTCTCCCACCCGCTGCCGAGCGCGGCGAGCACTGAGGGCGGGACCTGGGCGGCGGGGCGGAGCCTGCGCCTGGACACGGTGGGGCCGGACTTGAGACCGTTGCCTCTGGCGGCTGGTGCTGAGGCTGGCGCCCGGCATGGGGCGGGGCCTGGGTTCCGGGGCGGGGCCTGCGCCTGGACAGGCCCGCTGCCTCTGGAGCCCGCCAGGAGTGGGCGGAGCCTGAGCCCCGGGGCGGGGCCTGACCGGCCGGGAACACCGCCTTAGGCTGCTGCTGCTGAGGTTGGTGGTACCTGAGCTGGCCAGGGATGGGCGGGGCCGGGAGGTGATCGAGGCTTGGGGAGGCCGCTGCTGATGCGGGCGCCGGGGGTGTAGGTGAGGAAGGGCTTACACATTAGCGAGGCTTGGCTGTGATGGACGCCCCAGGCGGCCGCGCCTGACACCCCGCTCCCCTGAAGCCTGGCTGACACGGACACCGGAGGCAAACCCCCCGAATGAAAACCTTGCCTGGGATGGCCAAGATCCCGCCTATCTGTGATTGGCACCTGAAAGCCGCGCCTGGAACTCAGGGGTGGGGTCTGGGGGTTAGAGCCCGGCCTGGTGGTGGTCCACGCCTGGGGCGACTGGGCGTGGCTTCGCGCAGGTGGGTGTGGCCTGGAGCAAATGCAGCTGCGCAGGTTCCGGCTGAGCGGGGATGCTGGAGGCGCAGCTAGGAAAGCTGTTTCTCGTCAGACACGCTCGCGAGTGGGGACCCAGGACCCTGGGCGCGAGTGTTGGCTGGCAGTCGGCCCTGGGGCTGCTCCCGCGGTTGCCTGAGTTCCTCCAATTAGTGTTTATTGGGTGCCTGCGGAGCGCAGCTCCTCATTAAAAACCCGAAAACAAGGGTGCAGCTAGTTACACCGCTATCCTTTAATAGGGATGGCTGCCCGGAGACCGAGCAGGGGAGGATCGAGGGGCCTTGGCGTCTGTAACTATCAAACATGAGTCACGCAAGCAGGCTGGGCACACGGTGAAAGAAATTTTATTTATCGAAAAAAAAATACGCTATGGAAGTCTCTTTCAAGTGGCACAATGCTGTGATTAAAAATAGGGTTTTTTTTTTTTTTTAAATTACACTGAGACATTAAGGAATGGACAGTGGAGCCGGGCAGTGGTGGCGCATGCCTTGAATCCCAGCAATCGGGAGGCAGAGGCAGGTGGATCTCTGTGAGTTCCAGTCCAGCCTGGTCTACAAAGCTAGTCCAGGACAGGCTCCAAAGCTACAGAGAAACCCTGTCTCGAAAAACCAAAAATATTTTCCAGCCTATATATTGTAGCTAGAGTTTTCCTGCCTGGCCCACAGTCAGGACAAATCTCTCTCACCCGCCAGTCCCACAGCCACTTAGACCCAACCAAGTAAACAGAGACTTATATTGGTTGCAAACTGTATGGCCCTGGCAGGCTTCTTGCTAACTGTTCTTACAGCTTAAATTAATCCATTTCCATTAATCTATACCTTGCCACATGGCTCGTGGCTTACTGGCATCTTCACATGCTGTTTGTCATCCTGGCGGCTGGCAGTGTCTCTCTGACTCAGCCTTCCACTTCCTAGCTTTATTCTCCTCCTTGTCCCGCCTACACTTCCTGCCTAGCCAATGGCCAATCAGTGTTTTATTTATTGACTAGTTAGCAACACATTTGCCATACAGAACATCCCACAGCAATATATATTTGTTCCATGTGTATGTTTTTCCTTAAGGAGGCTACATAGTAGAGATTTAAATTACTGTGTAGCGGAGACTGGCCTAGAACGCATCATCCTCCTGCATCAGCCTCCCAGCTGCTGGGATTATAAACATGCCATCAGGCCACATACCTAACATTGCAACATTAAGTAGTAAAAAGCAAGTAATTAGAAAACAGACAATTGACAAAGGGAAATTGTTAACCTATGTTAACACACCACATAGCCATCTCTTCAGACAACAAACACTCCTTGTGAACATGATGAAGGATGTTGGGAAATGTTCCAATCTAGATAGAAAACTGTGATGTTTTGATTCACTGAGCAGTGACTAATGAATGGGAAATATGACACAGAATCTGTCTCAAGTTCATAATCGATGAGGCAAGAATATATTTTAATAGTTATGTTATTACTTAGTTGCTTAGACGAAATGGTAGCCTGGTTTTGCATGCCATCCATCTTAATCTGAGTGCATCCTTTTGGATGCACTTGGGAAAGAGAGTCTCATTTTGCAAAATGACAAGTGTACTTTGTCAGCTTTTGCAAAAAAAGAGAGAGGTATTGCACTTTCCCCTGTCTTCTGGGAGCTGTGAACCTGAGGCAGTTTTTTTTTTTTTTTTAAATATGCATTGGTATTCTACCTGTGTGTATGTCTGTGGTGAGGGTGTCAGATCTTGAAGATATAGACAACTGTGAGCTGCCATGTGGGTGCTGGGAATTGAACCAGTGTCCTCTGGAAAAGCAGTCAGCACTCTTAACTGCTGAGCCATCTCTCCAACCTCCTGACACAGATTCTTAAAGGAACTCCCTTGGGTATAGAATCAGATCTGGATCATATGTCAAACCCATGTTAGTTTGCCTTAAAAAAAATGTTCTTTGCATTTACTTCTTTAGTGTGTGTGTGCAGCATGGCTCATGTGGAAATCAGAGGACAACTTTTGGGAATCTTCCTCTTTCTACCACTTGTGTTTGTGGGATTGAACTCAGGTCATCAGCCTTGGCAGCAAGGTCCTTTACCTGCTAAGCTGTCTCACTGGCCTGAGTTTTGCCTTATTTACCTGGGATTTTATTTTGCATACAGTATCAAGGGCTAGTAAAATAAAGCATAATGTTAGGATTCTTAGAGTACATCTTTCCTCAAGATCACTTTCTAGCTTTTACAATTACTTACACAATAATGAATATTTCTAATGATTCATCTATTTTTGTTTTACGTGCATTGGTGTTTTGCCTGCATGTATGTGTGTATAAGGGTGTTGGATCCTGGAGTTACAGACAGTTTTTGTGATCCACCATGTGGGCGCTGAGAATTGAACCTGGGTCCTCTGAGCAGCCATTGCTCTTATCTGCTGAGCCATCTCTGCAGCCCCATATAGTGCATATTTCTGTAGCTGTGCATAAATAGACTGATGTGCTCACTAATGAATGGGTCCCCAGTGTCTGCTCATGGGATTTGTGGATTGGGTATATCAAGTGTCAGTATTCCAGTTGGTTGGTAACACACAGTTTGCTCAATTTTTGTTTGTTTGTTTTGTTTATTTTAGTCTGTGTAGTCCATGCTGGCCTGGAACTCGCCATCCTCCTACCTAAGCTTCAAGACTTTGGGGATTGTAGGTATGTACCACCATGCCCACTTTTGTTCAGTTATTATAAAAGAAAATACAAACAAAAACACCCTGCTTTTAAAATTGGAACTGTGTTTTTCCAACCAAAGATGGTATCATGAAAGGAGTCACTTAGTGGGGTGAGGCTCAGTCAATGTAGAGTGCTAGGCGGCAGGTGCTGCTGAGCCATCTTTGAGTGGCTGCTATCCACCAGAACCTGTCTCGAGGGAGGAAGGGATAGAGACGAAAGGCAGAAGCCAGATTGTATTCCAGACTAAGTGGACCAAGGTGGAACTTGTAAGAGGTTTTATTGTGCTGCTTAAGAGTGATAGAAGAGGATACAATGCGGGGGCACCCCATGAGACTTGGGGCTTGGCTCTGAGGGCAGGGAACTCTCATCCAACATGAAAGGTGGGAGGCTAACCACAGACAACAAGGAAGGCTGTGGAATCATCCTTGCTACCTCAGCAGTAACCTGTCTGTCACTTCCTTTGTCTCAGCCTCCAGAGCTGCAAGGTAGAACTCAATGTCCCAGATGCCCCTGTCCCTGGAGGTTGTCCGTTGTCACAGTAGGCTTCCTATGCTCCAGGCAGGCATATATTTATCAGTTTTGTTTCCTGACACTCTCAAATGAAATAAATATGAAAACTAGATAAGTTACTATTATTCATTTTTAAAAGATGTATTGTATGTGTGTGTGAATGTTAATGTCATGTGAGTGAAGGTGCCCATGGAGAACAGAAGGTGTCATATCCCCTGGAACTGAAATTAAGGTGGTTGTAAGCCTCAAAGTGTGGATGCTATGAACCAAACTCAGGTTTATTTTAAGAGCAGTATGTGCTTTTAACCACTGAGCCATTCTCCAGCCCCTAATATTACTCATTTTAAACCATCAAAGAAATCTGGTTTTGTTTCATATTGGCTGTCTAGCTCAGAAATAGAGTGTTCACTTAGCTGGCTTGAGGCTATGGCTTTGATACCCAGAAGTACCAAATACCTTTCAGATTTTACCTTACAAGTGTGCTTGAGACTGCACCTCTGCCTTTACAGGCTTTCATTACTTTTTCATTTTGTAAGACAGTTTCATGTGACTAAAGCTGACCTGGGATTTGCTATGCTGCTGAGGATGGCCTTGAACTCTTGACCCTCATTCGACCTCCCAAATCCTGGGATGATGGTTCTATGTGGTGCTGTGGCTGGAACTCAAGAGTTTGTGTATGCTGGGCAAATGTTCTACCAACTGAGCCTTATCCCCAGCCCCATCTTCACAGACTCTTGCTGATTAGGAAACTGCCAGATGCCACCCTGTGCCTCAAAGTGGAGGTGGACTTTGGTCTTCCTGGCTGCCCTTCTCTGTTTTGGAGCATGAACTCTGTGATAACCCCCCACCTCATTACTCTATCCCCAAATCCCAGGAC